GGGCACCACAGCAGGGTGCCCCCTCCAGGCCAGCAGCGTGCAGGCAGGTGGGTGCCAGAGGAGCAGCTGGTCCAGCTGCATCTCACAGGACAGCTCAGGACAGAGCCAGGGGAAGGGGCCTTCTCTCCGCTCTGAGCCCCCCTCCCGCTCTGACTGGCCGACTCTCATCTACGGCAGCCCTAGCCCCTGCCAAGTGGTGGACAAGCTCAGATGTGCTGTGGGCAGCTCAGACGGGTAACAGGGAGGAGCAGGGCTGTGGAAAAGCCCAGGTGGGCAGCTGCGCCTCACCTGCATCCGCAGAAGGCCCCTCTCTCACCTCCGCTGCCTGACCACGGCAGGGTCTCAGCTCATCTCCCCGATGGACAGCATCGCTGTGCGCAGACCACAGTTGGGAGCTGACTCTGAACCGAGGCTGGCCGGCTGCCTCTGCACATGGTGGCTGGACCCTTTTGGCTGCTGGAGCAGGGGACAGGGAGGAGGCGGGCTCTGAGGAGGACATGGGGGCAGGTCACCGAGGTGCAGACCAGGTCACTGAGGAGCTGAGCAGGAACCTGGCCGGGCTTCTGGCTTGGTGGGCACCAGACTGTCCCCAGAGCTCTCCCTGTCCTGGGCTCAGGCTCCTGGGCCTGGTGTGCACACTGGCTCTGCTTGTCACCTAGAGGCCTCCTCCTTGTCCCTCAGCCCTCGGCTTAGTTCTCCCTGCCTGAGGGAACCCACCTCTGATGGCTCTCTCTGGGGAAGTTAGAGTGAAATCTTTCAAAGAGGTAAAATCAAGTTTCTGAGACACATATTTTTTTTAAATGCAGGCAACAATCTTACTTAATGCGCCAATTTATGTGGGCCAGTGGGGTGTGAGAAACTAACTCAGAGGAGAATCAGTCAGGGCACGTTTTACAGGCCGCCGTGAGCTCTCGGGGGATTTGCTGGGTTCCCACCGCGACAGCCGACCACAGCCTCTGGACAGAGACCCCTGCCCCTCCAGGGCAAGACTCTTGGGCATCGCTGTCCATTTCCTACAGACGACAGGTTAAAAAACAGCTCACGACAAGGAAAGGCACGGACCCACAGTCCAGATAAGCCAGGAAGGGCCGGCCAGCGGCAGCCACAGAAAACACGTCCAGACGTTCTCCGCTGTTTCAGAGTCACCTTTCTCCCGTCAGCCTTCAGTAGTCCCCTCGTCTCCCCTCGGTGGCTGCAGCCGTGGCCTTGGGTGCAGCCCGGTCATCAAGTCCCACAGTGACAGGTGCGTTTCGTGTTCCTCCAGAGAGCCTGAACCTCACTTTGCCCCACCCACCCCACGTGCCCACTCAGACTGCCCGGAGTGAGAGCCACCGGGAGCCCAGCGTGCTGCGTGGACGAGCTGACTAGCCAACCCCGCTGGGCTGCAGGCTCCATCCTGGGCTGCTGATGGCCTGGACATGCTCTCCGTGCCATTCTGTGCTCCTGCCTCCTGGACATTCCTGAAGTGTCCACAAAGCACGTGATGGTCTTGAGAGCTCAGCCTCCTTACAGAGGGGCAGACTCCGTCCAGCTCTGCAGCTCACCAGAGGGCAGACCGTCCCCCTTTCCGGGCCCAGCAGGGCCCCATCTGGAGACCACGGGACAGGGCAGTCTTCATCTGTCCCGTGGCTTCATCCTGAGAAAGGGCTGGTTCTGAACTCCTGTGGAAAGGGTGGCTTGGGTTTGGTGAGCCCCAGCAGAAGTGCTGTGGCCATTTCAGACTCTGGCCCTGCTAGGCTGGGGGACACTCTGGGCACGTGGGGAACAGGAGGGAGCAGAAGTCCAAGGACACTGCAGAGGAACCAAGTGGCCAAGGGTCTCATGGAGCAGGGCTGCGTCTTCCTTTCCCATGACGTCGGTGGCTCCTGGACGTGCGTCCCTTGGCCTCTCAGGAACAGCAAGAATGTGCAGAGAAGCCACTCCTGGCACATGCATGGCTCTGGCCCAAGTCAGGGTCAGCAGGGAGGTGGCCCTCTGGACACTGCCAACCAGGCTGACGTCTGCACGCAGGCCCTGCCAGAGGAGGAGACCCTCTTTGCAAGAGGGGAGGGGCTAGGGACACTCCTCTTCAGACCTTTGAAGGGAGCTGCCCCGGGGCCCAGGCTGGCTGGGTCAGGAGCAGCGTCCAGCCCAGCTCCGCATTCTCGGCACCCGTCACAAGAACACACGCCTTGCTCCAGGCACCTCCCGTCATTTGGGTCAGAGAATACATAGCAAATGCCGTGCTTGTCTTCGCTGCCACGTTCCCACCTGGCCACGCCACGGGAAGCCGCTTCCTGCCAGGAGCCCAGGGACCTGGCTGGGAATGGCCCCACTCACCTGCACCCTCAGAGCTGGTCCCTGCCAGAGCAGGGGTTCCTGGGGTCCACGGCTGTGGGAGGTGGTCTGGGCTCCTCTTCCCCAGAGCAGCTCCCTGTCCCCAGCTGCAGCATAGGCGTGGCCGCCCCCAGCTCCCGCCCCGTACCTGCCCTCCTAGCATCTCCACACCTGGGTGGTTTGGGTGGGGAAGGAGGCCCAAGTGCTGCTTCCTGTCAGTCTCCTATGGGACACTCTGGGCACGTGGGGAGCAAGGACGGGCTCCTCCCCGGGCGTGGGACCCAGAGGGAGGAGGGTGCATGCAGCTGTGCCAGGTGCAGTGGGAAGGAGCAGGGCTGTCACCAGGCACCCTCACCCCAGGAGCCTCCCTCCTCCCGGCCCCAGGGGGCCCCATCCTGCCCAGGGCTTGTGCAGGAGGCCCCAGTCCTCAGGGCCTGGTGATGTGTGCCTTCTTCAGGCCACACTGCACTCTGTGCACCTCCAGAGTGTCCCTAAGACACAGGCGGGAGACCCTGGTGACACCAGGACTCGGGATCAGGATCCCTCTTGGCCCCTCAGCCTGGGTGTTAGAGCCGCAGCCCCCTGCGGCCACTGCTGCCCCTGGACGCAAGGCCCACAGGCTCACGACTGCGTTCGGTGGCCAGGGAGTGACGTCCTCCGGAGTCGGCTTTGCTGTGATCTCAGCGCAGGGATTTAAATCTTGTATTTGTATTCTGAGAGCTTGACTCTGACCTTTTGTTTACCCATTTCTGGAACAGCAACTGGCCTTCTAGCCAACAGAACCACGGGGTGTGTGCTGGACCTGGAGATGCCCACGCAGTGTGTGTGTGTGTGTGTGTGTGTGTGTGTGTCTGTGTGTCTGTGTGTGTGCGCACATGCACTTGAGGATTCATTTTAAACAACTGGGTCACATGACTGAGGGGACCAGCAGGTTCGATGGGCCAGAGACCCGGGAAGGGCCGATGTTGTGGCCTTGAGTCTGGAGGGAAGGCTCTTCCCTCTTTGAGTGACCTGGAGACTTTTCCCTGGAGACCTTACGCTGACGGGGTGAGGCCCACCCACAGTGCAGGGGCGCCTGCTTCCTCAGAGCCCACTGATTTAAGTGTTGGTCACATCCAACAAACATCTCCCAAGCAATGTCTGGACCAGTGTCCACCAGATACTGAAGGTAACCGCCTGTGTCCCTGAAAACTTGCCCCCAGGATGAGAAGCTCAGCCTGAGAGATGCCCAGCCTGCCCTGCTGCACAGCAGGAGTTTCAGGAAGGCAGTGAAGCCTCTGGGGAAGTGCCCCCTGTGGTCACGCCATCACTGGCAGCTTGCGGGAGCAGGGTTGCCCCTCGGCTGCCATCCAGGAACACACGGGGGCAGGGCCCTGGGGCTGGGTGACCATGGGCTGGCCAGCTCCTCTCTGGAGGTCTTCTGCCTGTGGTGCTCAGCACCCTCCAGCGTCCAGACGGCTGGCTGGGGAGCCGCTGTGCTCATCTGCTGGTAGGGCCCTGGCTGGAGCTGCAGAGGCTCCCCCACCACCGCGTCAGGTGGGGGCTTCAGGGCAGGGTGTGGCTCTGGGGCAAGAACCTTAGTGTCTCAGTGACCTCTCCCTGGTTCCAGAGGAGCACAGTGGGCCGGAGGGTCCACAGGGCACATATCCCAGGCCCTGGGGAGGAGCCCGCACCGTGAGCTGTCTTCCTGCTTCAGGTCCTGGCCTGGCTCCCACACAGGCCAAAGCCAGGGCTCCCCTTCTCCCACCCCGCCTCTGGGATGGGTTATACGGAGCGTCTCTGAGCTCCGGGCGGAAGGCAGCCCTGCTGGGTTGGGAGGGCGGCCCTTCCTCCACCCTCGCAGATCATCACGCTCCACTCTGGCCTCCCCATCCGCTTCTCACCCTCACTCCCGGTCCTGGCTGGCCCCAGTCGCCCTGGCCAATGGGGCGGGCACGTCCATCTTCCCCATGCACATGGCTTCGATTCTTCATTATAAATGTCCAGCGACCACCAGGCCGTGGGCACCTGGGGAAGCTGCCCACTGCCGTGGGGATCTCTAGGACCCGCTGCCCAGCAGCCCCCGCGAGCCCCATGGTGCACAGAAAGGGAGCAACAGTATCTCCACAGGGTTTGTGTGTGAAATGTCCCGGCCTAAGTGGGGGAAAAGGGAGAAGGCCCTGGATGCGTCCTCTGTCTTCCCCAGGGCACTGGAGCAGCACGAGGCAAGGGGAAGGCCTACAGCGTGGGCCGCCCTCCCAGCACACGGCCCTTCCCGGGAAGGCTGCAATCATGTTGGCCCCCACCCCGCCCCCTGGACCTCCGGGTAATGGGGCTGAGATCTCAGTCCTGGAACCCCACGGTGCTTGTTTTGGCTGGGCTGTGGCAGCCGTCCTCACAGACCCGAGTTGCATAACTGTGAGGTGTCCTCTTACGCTGGCTCACGCCTCCCTGGGAGGCCTGAGTGGCCCTGGCGGGTGGAGCAGCTCTGGTGGGGTCTCTTGTGTCTCCTGACCTTGCGGGCAGCTGGCTGTGCCACACGCAGCCTCAGCCTCTGGGAGTCGGGAGCAGCCACCTCTGTCCAGAGTTGGCCTCTTGGGCGTAGGCGGGCGAGGGGCTCTCCACCCTCTGAGCACATCTCTCCCCAGTGTCAGCGTCATCCCTGGCCCTGCCAGAGCGCCGTGGCCGCTGGTCAAGAGGCGGCC